AATGGTCTGAAAAATCAGACTATTACGTACTGGCTCTAAAGCTCCTAAGTCGATTTGACAACTAATAGTCGTTATTTTCCCAATTGAAGACATTTTCAAGCCCCACCCCCCTTTTTTAGGGAAGTTCTAAATTAGTATTGTCTTTTAAATGCCGTTGGAATTCAACCTTTTTCATTTTTTTGACCTGCAAATGGGACATAGTACCTTCAAATGGGTACCCGGTAGGATGCGACCGTCATTGTTGGTAAAACAGTTTTTGAGCGTCAAGTAACGCCTGGCTGGAATGCTTAAAGTATGTGCGGGTAAAAGCTGAATCCAATGGCCGGGGTAAAGCGCTTTTAATAGAGACCTTGTATTAAGCGCTATATAAAAGCTAAACATAATGATCATTATATAAAGGCAGTGTATTTTACTGACATATCTAGCACTGCCGTAATGTATTTGTAATTGCGCAATCTTTCGGTAACGGCGTACAAAGAGCGATTTCCGGTCATGTACCCAAGCGAGAGATTAAAAAAAAAAATAGTGACATAATAACAAATATACTTACCTCCCCGAAATAGAACCCAAGTGATGCATAAGTTGGTTCAGTACCAAGATTCTTTACCCTTTCTCTAATTTCTGATTAGAAAAAACAAGAACAACAAGACACTTTTGAATGGTTAGCAATATAGCACATCAAATTTAACCTAGATCTAATTAAGACCTTATCAGGACTCATTTTTACTAACCATACCCTTTAATTGAGAGCAAATGGGCAATTCAAGCTCAACTGAAATAGAAGTATTTTTTATCATCAGGACAACTGCTCCTGGAAAACACACCCATGGGACAATTACTATTCTTTAGTCTTCCCTATACATTTACAACATGGAAATCTACTTCCTAGGTATGATACCCATCAGGATACGTACAACATGGAAAATGACCTCTTAGGAGAATTGTCCCTAAGAGAAATTACCCCCAGATAACAACCATCTTTAATGAGTTAACCTAATCACCCTCATGCGACTATCTATATGTGGACATTCGATTTGGAAGTCCTTATCTGAGATTTTAAAGATAATATATACTTTTTACCAATCTCACTGTCAATATACCTCCCTCTAAAAAGAAAAAAATGCCTTACTGCTTTAAAAACACATCTTTTTCCCCTTTCTGTTCATAGAATTTCCTCTCAAGATTGTTATATTCTAATACATTTTATAAGACAATAAAAATGACAAACGATTGTATCCTACTACAGTCATGACAATGTCTTATTCAAAAGAGAAAAAAAGAAGAACTCAGTAGTTTTAATTACATGATTCTACTTTAAAAGTCAAGACTGTAATATAAAAGCAGGGTATTTCACATTGTTACCACTACTGTAATGTATTTTCAATTGCCCAAGCTTTTTCATGCGCGCTTCATGCAGTTGGTAATGCATTGTGGGACATGGCTATTGACGCCGTGGGACAGTGTGAGCAGCAGATGGCAGTAAACGTAAATATGAAGTAGTATCAGTAGAATACCCCCTCTTTAAGGTCAATCGAGTATGAACAAACCTTTGAAATGTGGACGTTCATTTGCTTCATAGCTCCAACACTCTTTCATAACTTCGATCAGATCTTTAGGAGCGTTTACTGGAACAGGTTGCAGACAGGGAAATTGTTTTTCTTCTACTTTCAGTAGCTTCATCATATCAAATCCTCTGTCTGATATACAAACAATATATAAATAATACAGGGAAATCAATTGCTTTAGCAATAAAAATGAATGACTGAAATTACAATTATAATGAGTAAAACTTGCAATCAAATGTTAGTGCAATCAAACCAAATTCATGAGCATTGCCAAATTGAGCCTATAGCCTATGTGTAACATTATTTGTTATTCATAACCTGATTTCTGATGTATTTAAAAACAAATTTACACCATTTTGAGAATGTGAGTTGGCTCAGTGGTAGAACAGTTATCTTATAACAGGAAGGACCCAGGTTATAAACCTTGTAGATTCACTTGACTAGTGCTCTTTGGTAAGGCATTTAACCTCATTACCATGTCCCTCAGAGAGGATTTAGAGCTGTAATTCACCGGGTTGTTAACCTACAAAATACATGCGCTTTTTTGAAGTCAGGTTAATAAAGAAACATCAAAATCTATTAAAATTATTAAACATGAAGCAAAAACTCACCGGAGTATGGGTGAATACCTGTCAGAAGTTCATAGACAGTCATCGCAAAGCTGTGGGTTAATGCATGACAAAAAAAATATGGATTTTTGTTGTTGTCCAATATGAAATAAAGTAATACATCACCTAAATCTCACACATATTGCGAAACATTGCACTCAAGTTTATAAAAAACTGACTAAAAGCAGATATTCAAAAGAAAGGTACTAATGGCTGGACTCCATCATTGGTTGATTGAATCATGGTGAAATACACTGTTCTTCATTTTTACTTCATGTTTTTGTAATTGTTAAGCATGTAAATTCGTTAAAATACACAATAAAGTATGAATTTCATTGAATTGGTCCCGGAAAACTTGTTGAAGTTGAATCATTTGTATAAACGAGGTTTATTAAAGACATTATCATCCTGACTTAATATAATTATGAAACTACGAAATAAGGTTAGTCACATACAAGGGACTTGATAACATTGTTCAGATTAGAGAAACTGGTGTTAAGGTAGTTACTTCAATGCTAGATTTACACTTAAAGATAATCTGAAAGTTTGCGTGAAAAAAGACCATTATTAATGATAAAAATTGAGTAAAACTGATCTGAACGATTCCAGAGTTCTCCCAAATATTTTATTATAATTTAAATACAATTTTAGGTAAATTTAATATCGTCACAAAGCAATGGATTGGCTCTATATACCATTAAAAACATTTAAGTATTAAAAGAATTTTAAAAGTTTGTTTTATGGCTTACTTTCATGGAAAAACGGTTAGGTAAATTCAAAAATTGGTTGGGAGAATTTACTGTTAGAGGGTGTTGCACAGTGACGACTTCAAAGAAAACCATAAATATGTTTGTGGTTTGAGATTTTTTTTCAGGATTTTTTGCATGTGTTAGTACGGTAGAAGGATAATAGTATATTATTAATGACTGCTTTGAGAGAAATAGTTGTTTTTATACGCTCAAGGGAAGGTTACAAGTGTGCTATTGCCCGAGGCGTGCCGAGGGCAATAGCCCAATTGTAACCTTCCCGAGAGCGTATAAAAATAACTATTTCTCGAATATTAAAGCAGTCATTAATACTTTTATATGCCGAAAAAAATAGACTAAAAAATAAAACCATGGTTACCGGGAATTTTACAGGAACAGTTAAAGTTTATGAATGCAATTTCAACCAATCAGATATCTGGATTTCTTAAGTGAGGTATATAATAAGTAACATTTCATACAAAAATTACGCAGTTTTTCCATCAACCTTCAACAATGTTACCGGTTCACTTTACAAAAATACGTTTTAAATCGCCCCTTTTTTCTTCTTTTTTTTAAACATAAAAAACACGATTTAAAATGCCCCCATAGACATGTGTATTTAAATGTTGCATGCATTTTTTTTTTAATGTGTTATTATTTTCTTACTTATTAAAAGACCAGTGAAGTAAAAGTTTTTCTCTGCCCTGCCACTTTCCTGTTGGGTCTTCTAAATAGTTATCTGAGGGTTCTAGATTGACTGTACATACATAAAAGTAAAAGGTGTTTTGGGGGAGTAAAACGAAATTGGAAAAAAATAGGGCGCCCCCTATTCTACTCATACTCATACTCATCGACGCCTGTTCAGCATCCAGATTACGGTAAAGCATAGAGATGTTATATTACATCTTTTAGGGAGTAAAACATGGAAATACGCAAGGGTGTAAACAATAGTCATTTGAGGGGTGTAATTTTACACCCTATTTTAGTCAGACGAGCTCTGATTGGTCAATATATTGTAACAAATCAGGGATTTGGCATTGGGAAGTTAAGCATTTTGTTGTTTTGAGTGCATATTCGCATGCGCTACAGCAACGGCGCATCGTGTCGATATAGATACTGCCAAATGAAGGAAAATTAGCATAATTTACATATTTTAGTCATGTTGTGGAAAATTATCATGTTTCATTTGGGCATATAATTTGTGTGAAAGTTATCTGATCAAGAATAAGGGGTTGTACCGAAATTTATATTCGATAATGTAATGAAATTAGCAGAAGTGTTGTTTTACTAACTAGTACATAATTGCCTTCTTATACGTATAATAAGTAAAGGGAAGACATTCGGGAAGGCAGTATTGTGTGAAAGAATTTCCACTACATTTGATCCGATACGTCCATCCAGGCCAGCCTCACCGAGGCTAACATTAAGTTGGTTCTTACAGCCTGCACTTGTGTTGAGTTCAAAGTAACTGTTGTTTTAGGTAAGCATTAAAGCCTTTCGTCATAAAGTTCGAGATTCTGGTTTGATTTCTTAAGAGCAGTGAAACGTAGACAAAAGGGTAAGAATCAGTGACGGTTAGGTGATTACGAAGCATGGATGATTGATTGCTCGAGGGATGTTCAATTGGTTGATGCTGTGCATAAGAAGGGTGTATATTTACTACCCACCGGGTGTGGAATTAATCATATATGGTATCAAATTCAACCCTACGGGTGTAAATTTTAGCCCATTTTTCATGAAAATGGAACCAAAAGGTGTTAATTAAGCACCCTCGGTTGCAAATTTCACTCCTTAAAGGGAGTAAAATAATAACCTTGGGGTAAAAATTTACACCTTCCTGTGGGTTGTAAATTTACTCCCTAAATTTGGGATTAAATTGTCACTTCTGCGACAAGCATTTACTCCCTATAGGGAGTAAATTCAAACCTATTTTTCTCTGTGTACATGATGTCCAGGGCCTAGAGAATAACGTCTGACAGGGTAAGCTTTCACAATTTTGTTTTTCTTCAAACATTTCTTTAACCATTTTCCGTAATGTTAATTGTTTTTCAATTTTAATTTAAACATATTTAATCAGTGGTTCAACACCTGATCCAAAAGAGATATTAATGACATTAAAGGCCCCATTATGAGCGTCTTACTCAGTGGCGTTTCTGTTGGGGCACAGGAGACATGTGCCCCAGACGGCCATTAAAGGGCCGCAAAAAAAAAATGAAGACAAAAAAAGAGAAAGGGGTGGAAAGGAAGAAGGAAAAAATAATGATCCAAAATGAATTAGTGTATGAACTAAGGTTTGAGGGAGAAGCCAATAGAAAACTTCATGTACTTTACCCACATATTGATGATCAAAATTCGAACTTTACCTGTATTAATATCCCCTTCAAATACTTGAATGTGTAGGACGATTAAAGTATACAGTACCCGAAATTCCTTCAAGAATTCCTTCGAGAATTAGAATATACATTGATTGGGCATATCTCCACTGCTTAATTCTTTGCTCATGTAATGGCCTTCTGAGGATTGTTTACATGAATTATTTTTTCTCACCTGTAGACATCATACTTTGGAGTAACAACCTTGGTTGAGTTGGGTAAGTCTGTTCTAAAAGCTTCTGGAGGCTTGTGGCTGTCCGTGCCCCAACACCTATCACCAAATGAAGTTTGGAGATTGGTTGCAAGGCCAAGATCTGCAATCTGTTCATGCCATTGAGAGAGAGAAAAACCATAACATTCTTATCACACTATTCTAGACTGATTTGTCCCTAACATTGAAGGTAATGAATATCTTGTTTGACAGGAAAGCTCATGTGATCTTTTTTTGATTTCATGAATGATAATTCTTGGGAATCGTACATGCTTTCCCATCTTCCATTAATAAGTTCAGCTGCAAGCCCCATCATGATGTGAGATATGAAACTACCTATCTTTCAAAAGAATATTACACTTTTTAATTTACAAATCAATATTTAAAAAAAGATTAATTGAATATTCTTTGTTGTAGCTTTAGTGACAAATCTACATGTAGGTATAAGCCAGACAAGGGCACCATCAAACACGATAGAGTCGCTACGTTTCTCCTGGAAACCTTGTCAGCATAAGGTCATCGATGTATGATAAGGTCTGGTCTGGGTGACCTCACATACGACTTCAATGTTCTTTCTTGCCGGTTTCCTCATTCATATATACAGTGCGTCCCAAAAAAACTATACACTTTTGAAATGGCTGCCGAATAGAAAAAAAAATATTCTGGGGGGGAAATGTTTTATATGTATGGAAAGCTCATAAACTCAACTTTCATATGACACCAAAAAGTCTGAAAATAATTCATGCTTGGGTGAGCACTGCTCACTTTTGTAAAGGGTATGAAATTTAGGTTGCACATGAATTCGCCTTCCAATTTGTGAGAGGTAAATTGAGGATAATATGACCAATTTATGATCAATTGTGATGAGTTTGGGTTTGCTGAGTGAAATTTGTGGTTCATGGGATTAACATTTTATGTATGAGTGAACAGGAATTCGTTTGTTATTACAGTATAGCAATGTTTTTTTTCTTCTGAATTAAAATAAAGAGCACGGCATCGTTCAATGTATATCAATCAGATATGATTATTTACGTCTGGGGACCGACCTTTTACGTCACAATCCGAAAGACGTTGAAATACACATGTTTCAATTGGATATCTTAAGTACTTATGATGGTTTAATAAAACGCTGCATAGATTACAGGTGAAGAATGTTACCTTGACATGAAGATCACCATCTACTAGAACGTTCTCCAGCTTCAGATCCCGGTGAATGATATTCTTTGAGTGGAGAAAATGCATTCCGCACGAGATTTGATAGACCATCCTGTTGGTCAGAGGCCAGAGATCAGGGGAATGTTGCCATTCACTAATGCGGAAGTCCCAGAGAGATCCATTCTCCATGTATTGCGTGACGATACCAAGAAGGCCACATCGACATGTATCCTCTTCACACTTCACAAACCCTTTGATGGCGACAATATAATCACATGTCAGGGAAAGTCCATGCTTTCGAGCCTCCTTCTGGTACATCTTTAATTGATCTCTATGTGGGATAGTGGGAAAACATTGATAAAAAAAAAAATGATATCTTACCAACAAGTGTGAAGACTTTTCCTTAGAACATATGGTCATAAGCTGCAAAACTTCTTGGTCTCCTAGTGCAATCATATATTGTGACATAGGAAACAACTCAAAGCCAAATTATAGTTTTTATGTAATACTATACTATGTTGCGAGTTCCACCTGAAATTAACAAGAGGTATGTGATTATCGTCCTCAAGCCAGTTTTACCACAGAGTGTGCTCTATTTAGAGATATGTCTATGAAATTGGAGTTGTGAGGTTTCTATGTTTTACAGCAGGGGCTTGTAAATTATTGTCAATTTCAAAACAAGAAATCGCCGTCCCTGTGTGGGACACAAGGCAGTTAACATAGTTTTCAGAATACTACCCCAAATATTTGAACAATTGTATTCCTCTATGGCTCAATATTACTTTCAACAATTCGTTTTACTTACCCTTTACCAGGTTTAGCAAGCTTCACTGCTACATCACCATGTACTTTATGTACAGCCTTGAAGACCTCCCCAAAAGAGCCTCCACCCAAATGACAGCCTTCAAGCTCCCTTGCATTCTTCTCATGGAACGCAAATTCAACCCCACTGGAGTCTTTAACATTGAGGTCCACCATGTCGATTTGATCAAGCTTTACTTCCAGTTGATGAACAGACACTGGATCATTTTTCTGGACATCCTCTCCTAATGGCATTTCAAAATCAAAGTGAAAACAAAATACTTGGCAGTCATAATATGACAATAGTCAAGACCGTTTACAAGCATCGTCCAGCTAACGTATGTCCTGGGCAGCGTCTCACGAAACCGTCATAAGAAAAGTTTACAGACATCCCATTGAAATGCGTGTATTAAGTTTAACACGCGTTTCAATGGGATGTCGGTGAACTTGTACTTAATTCAATTCAATTGTTTTAGTTTTCCAAATCATTAAAAACATTTACTGTAATTAACATCAAATACAGTTACAAATACAATTCATGCACAGTAACATAATAGATAAGAAAAAAGGGGAACCCCAAAAAAGCAGAAGCTTGTGTTTTGGAAGGTGCACTCAGTACATTATTATAATCAAACTGTGTGCATAAATGAAAAGTAAGAAAAAATATTCCTAGGTTACATTTACACTGTATAAACTGGCAAATCACCACACACATCAACGCATACAATGAATCACACAGGGGGGGGGGGGGGGGGGGGGTCAGGATTCGCAGCCCAGTCAGTTGTGACTGGTGCAAGTCAGTCCCCTACTCATATATATATATATATATACACTGTTGGTCATAATGGTGGAATAATTATTTTTACCCCAGTTTAGGGAAGGATTTTAAAACATGATTTATTTCTAAAAGATCTAGATAATGGCATACATTCTCAGATTTTATTGAATATTAATTTGCGAGTGTTTTTTTTGCGTGACTGCTAAATCATACGTGGGCTACTATGCTAATCAGCTAAGGGACCTACGTACTTAAGTCATAATTGACAGTAATGAGGATTAATGCCTAAAAAAAGGGCACTAATATATAGCTGATCGATACGATTTTTATCCTGGGGCCTCACAGTAACGAGGCCATTGCTTAGCCCCTGAATTATGACTGTACGCAGTGGTTGCTAGTGTACGCGGCCGCCCCCACAAATCCCCCAAAACGAAGAAAATGCAATAAATTGTCAAAAATTCATTGCATTTCCCCCCGGCCCCCAACAGGAAAAATTCCTCTGTGTGGCCATGCCTTGAACCATAATGCATGACCCTACAGAGGAATTTTTCCTGTTGGGGGCTGGGAGGAAATGCAATGAATTTTTGACAATTTATTGCATTTTCTTCGTTTTGGGGGATTTGTGGGGGCGGCCGCGTACACTAGCAACCACTGCGTACAGTCATAATTCAGGGGCTAAGCAATGGCCTCGTTACTGTGAGGCCCCAGGATAAAAATCGTGTCGATCAGCTATATATTAGTGCCCTTTTGTGAGGCATTATTCCTCATTACTGTCAATTATGACTTAAGGACGTAGGTTCCCTAGCTGATTAGCATAGTAGCACACATATGATTTAGCAGTCACGCAAAACAAACACTCGCAAATTAATATTCAATAAAATATGAGAATGTATGCCATTATCTAGATCTTTTAGAAATAAATCATTTTTTAAAATCCTTCCCTAAACTGGGGTAAAAATAATTATTCCACCATTATGACCAACAGTGTATATATACATGTATTAAAAGCAGTCGAAGTGACAAAAACTGACCTGGACCAACCACAAAAAAAAGAGTGACGGGCCCTTGGAACGAATCATATCAAACTAGACATATAATACTTGTTTGGAACAAGTATAGGTGGGCTGGTCAACTAAAATTTGAAAACAAAATAGATCAAAATTAAGCGAGATACTGCTTTAAAATTCTTAAAAAACACTATCATGTAGATTCATTGCGTGAACGAAATTCACCTTCTATAGTCATAACACGCAAATTATGAAATTTCTGACATGAGGCCTTTATTCGAAATTTTCACTCTGATGACGTCATCAAAATGAAAAATAGTTAATATTGAACTTGTAGAGAATTATCTTAGCTACAACATATCGAAATCTTGAAGAAAATCAATTAATATATACAGAGATATTCAATTTTCCATAAATATGCTGACGTCATAATTTGCAAATTCCTATTTTTAGTTCGAAGGCCATTATAAAGATGTAAAAATATTTGTAATAGCCAAATGAGACATTAAATCATATTTCCGACCTATACTCTATCTAATTATGAAAAAAAAATTGAAGGTTCCGATTCATTCCAAAGAGCTATAATGGATTTTGTATAGGCATGTTTTTGCCCATATATGCTATGTATTAAAGGAGCTCGCGCGCACGGACGTTTATCTTGAATGGACGCTCATCTTATTAATAATGGTCATAAAGAGATAAACATGGTATCAAATTGTTCAAAAAAATACTATGAGAAATATCATGAAAGAAAAAAAATGGCTATTCTATGTTTTGTCATGGTGTAACGCGCGAAAACGCGCGCGCATGCGCGTGTGCGCGATCTTTTATAAAATCCTTAAAATGACCTGAAACGTATGCAAAATTAATTTGAGACGATTTTGAGCATTTACAAATTTTGCGCGCGCACTTACGCCACGCGCACGTATTTTGACCTGAAAATAACCGGACTGATATTGACCTTGATCATGGAAAATATGAATGAGAAATGACTTACCGTTATGAAAATATGATCATAAGTAAATTTCCAGAAAATTTCACAAAATGGCGCCTAGATGACGTCATCAGTCAAGGTCAAGGTTGAAAACCTTACTTTGTTTTGTCCATATGGCTATACACATGTCTGATAAACATCAAATCATTTGATTGAGCCATTTTCAACTTATCTTGCTAACAAAAATGTAGGGCGAAATAAGAAAAACTAGATTTGTAATACTTGATTGGAACAAGTATAGGTGGGCTGATCCACCTAAATTTTGAGACAAAATCAAGGGCATATTTGAGATAGCTAATTGTTTCGACGGAGATATTGCTCGCGAAAGACGGGAATGTAGAATTCAGTTTTGAGAAAAGTCATGTCCCATAGAGAATGCACGCAAAATGTGAAAAATTGACATGCCTCCTTTAATCGCACAAATACACCATGATGCCTTAGTCAAAATGAAAAAGTGTGGCAGCTACATTTGTAGAATATTGTCTCAGCTAGAACATATCAAAATTTGGAAGAAAATTGATCAACATTTTTAGAGATACAATCAATTTTCAAAATATATGCTGACATCATAATATGCAAATTGAAATTTTGAGTTCGGAGGCCATTATGATGACGTCATGAGTTAATTGAGGGTCAAATGAAACATGAAATCATATCTCCAATTTATTTTCTATCAAAATATGAAAACAAAATTGGGGTCACCTTGCAGCCTAAAGAGCTACAATGGATTTTGTATAGGCATATTTTTGCCCATATATACTATGTATAACAAGAGCTAGCGCGCACAGAAATTTTTGTTAAACGGTCGATCATTCCGTTATTAATAGTCATAAAGTGACAAACTTGTATCAATTTGTTAGTAAAAATATGTGAAATATTATGATGGAAAAACAAATGGCGATCCTATGTTGTGTAATAGTTTTACGCGAAAATACGCGCGCGCATGCGCGTGTGCGCGTGTGCGCGATTTTTTTATAAAATGCTTAGAATGGCCTAAAACGTATGCAAATTTTTTTTGAGACGATTTTGAGCATTTTAGAATTTTGCGCGCGCATTGACGCGCAGACGTACGCGCACGCGCGCGTTATTTCACCTGGAATTGACCGGACGGATATTGATCTTGATCATGATAAATATGAATGAGAAATACCATTTGGTTATGAAAATATGATCATGTGTTGATTTTCGTAAAGTTTTACAAAATGGCGCCTAGATGATGTCATCAGTAAAGGTCAATGTTGAAAACGTTACTGTGCTTTGTACATATGCATATACATATGTGTGCCAAATTTGAAGGCATTTGATTTAGCCATTTTCAAGTAATCGTGCTTACAAAAAAGTGGTTAAAAATAAGAAAAAGATATAAATAAACTAGATTTGTAATACTTGTTTGGAACAAGTATAGGTGGGCTGATCCAACAAAAAATTGAGACAAAATAAAGGGTACATTTGAGATAGCTTTTTGTCTCAGCTACAACATACTCGAAGTTCAGCGTAAATTAAGCTAAACGACGTAGATATTGCTCGCGAAAGACGGGAATGTAGAATCGAGTTTTGAGAAAAAGTCATGTCCCATAGAGAATACACGCAAAATGTGAACAATTGACATGCCTCCTTTAATCGCAAAAATATGCCTTGATGCCTTTGTCAAAATGATGGATAGTAAAAACTGCATTTGTAGAAAATTGTATCAGCTAGTACATATCAAAATTCGGAAGAAAATCGAGCAATATTTACAGAGATACAATCAATTTTCCAAAAATATGCTGACGTCATAATATGCAAATTGGAATTTTGAGTTAGGAGGCCATTATGATGACGTCATGAGTTACTTGAGGGTCAAATGAGACATCAAAAATTATTTCCGAATCATACTCTATTAAAATATGAAACAAAATTGGGGTCACCTTGCATCCTAAAGGGCTACAATGGATTTTGTATAGGCATGTTTTTGCCCATATATGCTATGTATTACAAGAGCTCGCGCGCACGGAAATTTTTGTTAAACGGTCGATCATTCCGTTATTAATAGTCATAAAGAGACAAACATGGTATCAATTTGTTTGTAAATATATGTGGAATATTATGAAAGAAAAAAAAATGGCGATTCGATGTTGTGCAATAGTTTTTCGCGCGAAAACGCGCACGCATGCGCGTGTGCGCGATATTTTATAAAATGCTTAGAATGGCCTAAAACGTATGCAAAATAATTTTGAGACAATTTTGAGCTTTTCAAAATTTTGCGCGCGCATTGACGCACGGGCGTACGTGCACGCGCGCGTTATTTGACCTGAATTTGACCGGACGGATATTGACCTTGATCATGATAAATATGAATGAGAAATACGTTTTGGTTATGAAGATATGATCATAAGTAGATTTTCGTAAAATTTTACAAAATGGCGCCTAGATGACGTCATCATTGAAGGTCAATCTTGAAAACGTTATTTTGCCTTGTACATATGCCTATACATACGTGTGCCAAATTTCAAGGCATTTGATTAAGCCATTTCTAAGTTATCTTGCCAACAAAAAAGTGGTTAGAAATAAGAAAAATATTTAATAAAAAATAAATAAAGGAAATTCTAACGAAATTATAAGGTTGTCTGTACGTTATACAGCCTACCTGATAAATAAATAAATAAACAAATAATAAAAGCAATTGTAACAAAATTATAAGGTGGTCTGTATTAGATACAGCCCACCTGATAATATACATTGCAGTAACTTAATGATTATAAATGGACAACGAGGCGGTTTCGTGAGACGCTGCCCAGGATACTGTATATGCATTTGTAATAATGTAACTTTATATCTTCTGTACATGTACAGAATATTTGTTTCTTCTGATTACTGATTGATATTTCTTTTCTTCAATTGCTCATAATTCAGTGGTTAAATCCACAATTAATACAACCATACGATAGTGGTCGTATAAGAAAAGTATTTACTAATAAAAAAATAGTATATCTTCATGATTTCTTTGTAGGTTATGGTGAATTAATCTCACATTTATTTCTGTTAAAAATTTCCTCAAAAGGTTTATGTTATGCAGGACCCCCAAGTGTGATAGTATTTCAACTACTGACGGGTTTACCCTGTTGAATACGGTACTATATAAATTACACAATTACATTTATAAAAAAAAAAAAACTTAACATGGCCCTCTCTCATAAAACTTGTTAACAATGATAAGTAATAAGAATGATAAAAGAAACTGAGATTAATAAATTTGATCATTTGTATACTGCATTGTTATTGAATAAAAGAATTTTCAAAGCTCTTTTCATGGAGCTCAAATTAGTTTCCTCCCACATACAATAATGTGGAAGGGAACTACTTCAGCGTTCAATGACTTAAACCTTGAGTGCGTACTTGTGTGCATCTCACAACTATCTCTCTCAGTACGCTATGAAAAATTGAGTTTTATAGACTTTTAAAATAAGACTTTACTGCTAGAATTATACATTCACATTTTTATTAAAATGTCTTCTGTACCTTCAGATATCTTGTCATTGATAATCTAGTGTTTTTTAGACTAAATTTAAGCGAATTACAGATTTTGTACCGTCTTGTTTAACATTGTCATAGGCATTTGTTATTGCTAACACGTTTTATGAAACAGGGCCCAGGATTTGTTGTTAGAACATGTTGACTATTTGGCATGATCTACCCCTCCCCCAATTCCGGATACACGGGAATAACCAGAAAGAACACAGAAAGTTATCCGAATATAATAAGAGAATAATGTGAAACTGTATGATCCTGACTAAAATCCAAGACTAAACGGCATTCGGACATGGGCTTAACGGTAATACGTAATACATAAAACTGGTAAAAAATAGACCAATCGGATATTATAAAAAAAAAAAAAAATATGACCGAATGATGATTAGGCCAAAAAGTTTGGATAACAACAAATTAAAACTAAAGTATTATGACAGCTATTGACCCTATAAAAACATCAAATTTTGACATGATATAATCACCCATGAACACTGTTAAATTGCGAATCATACCTTCAGGTGATGCTGCTTTCCTCTGTGCTTGTTCTCTCTTGAGATACCGAACTACATCAAGATGACCTTTTCGAAATGCAACAAGACGTGGGGTCTCGCCATCATTATTGCCCCTCTCAAACTGTGCTCCTGCTTGACCAACTAGGTACTGAACTGTTTCAAGTTGACCACACATTGATGCATAGTAAAGAGGTGTCTGACCAACATTATCACACGTGCCAGTCTGTGCTCCTTTATCAATGAGATACTTAACTACATCAAGACGACCACACATTGATGCATCATGAAGAGGCGTCTTACCACCCTTATCGCCCCTCTCAACCTGTGCTCCTTGATCAACAAGGTATTGAACTACGTCAAGATAACCATTGCGTGATGGAAGAAAAAGTGGCGTCTGGCCATCATTGTTGCCGCTCTCTAACTTTGCTCCTTGATCAACGAGGTATTGAACTACGTCAAGATGACCATTGGCTGATGCAAAAAAAGTGGCGTCTGGCCATCATTATCGCCCCTCTCTAACTCTGCTCCTTGACCAATGAGGTACTGAACTACATCAAAATGCCAATGGCATGATGCAACAATAAGTGGCGTCTGACCACCATTATTACCCCTCTGAACCTGTGCTCCTTGACTAACGAGGTACTGAACTACGTCGAGATGACCACTGCCTGATGCCTCAAGAAGTGGCGTCCGACCGTCATTACTGCCTCTCTCAACATGTGATCCTTGACTAACGAGGTACTGAACTACGTCAATATGACCTTTAGCTGATGCAGCGAAAAGAGCCGTTGAACCGTCATTATTGCATCTCTCAACCTGTGCTCCTCGACTAACGAGATACTTTACTACACCAAGATGACCACTACTTGATGCAAAATGAAATGGTGTTGAACCATTTTTATCACCCCTATTTACATGTGCTCCTTGACCAACGAGATACTGAACTACATCAAGTTGACCTTCGTATGATGCAGGATGACCCCCAATTGATGCAGAGTGAAGAGGTGTCTGACCAGCCGTATTAAACGTGCCAACCTGTGCTCCTTCATCAATTAGATACTTAACTACAGCAAGATGACCGAAACGTGATGCAGAGTGAAGTGGAGTTGAATTATTATTACTACCCCTATCAACCTGTGCTCCTTGACCAACGAGATACTTAACTACAGCAAGATGACCGTTCTGTGATGCAGAGTGAAGAGGTGTCGTACCATGATGGACCCTGGCCCTGTTTACCTGTGCTCCTTGACTAACGAGGAACTGTACTACGTCAACATGACCTTTAACTGATGCAGTAAAAAGTGGTGTCTGATCAAAATTATCAACCCTCTGTACTTGTGCTCCTTGCCTAACGAGATACTGAACTACATCAAGGCGACCATTGATTGATGCAATATGAAGTGGTGTAATACCCTTATTATTACTCCCCTCAACCTGTGCGCTTTGACCAACGAGGTACTGAACGACGTCGAGGTGACCTTTAGCTGATGCAAAGAGAAGAGCCGTCATATCATCTTTATCATGCTTATCAATCTGTGCTCTTTTACTTATGAGATACTTAAATACATCAAGATGACCATTGTCTGACGCAATATGAAGTGGTGTCCCACCGTTGTTATCACCCCTCTCAACCTGTGCTCTTCGACTAACGAGGAACCGAACTACATCGAGGTGACCATTGCGTGATGCACAGTGAAGAGGTGTCGAACCACTACTATCAAACGTATGAATCTGTGCTCCTTGACGGAGAAAATGCTGAACGTCTTCAACACAGCCATCTAAAGCTGCCGTCAGAAGGTTTTTATCGATCCTAGCAGGCTCATTTGCTGCTCTTTCAGCCATGTTTTGATATGTCCGTGGACCCAATTGTCAATCAAATCCTATGAATACTTCTTCGTTCTAGACCAAATATTTCGTGTTTGTCAGAGTCACCTTTGCGCTCTATAAATCGTTCTTGGAAGAGATTAAACACGTCAAAGAAGTTACCCGCTCTATAACAGCCTGAGAGGTTCTCTGTAACCCTCCAGATTTAAACTATTGGAACCTACTAATGATTATGCATTGAAAACTACGTAAGAGGAATGATTCTAATTTGATAACGTAATACTTGCGAGCATAATTCAAATTCTATAATTAAAGAATCCGTCTCGGACAGTCCTGGCGCTGTCAGTACAAGTTTGATATATCCACGTTATTCGTCTGATTTCCTACATATAAACCAACGTGCTACGGCCCATCCATCGAAGGTATGTTCCTTCGAAATGAAATTGTAGATTGTCCAATCAGTTCACAAATCAGTGCATAAAATTGTTCCACAATAAAACGCTAGAATTATTTTCTTAAAATTTAGCTCCCTAATCTCTATCCAAAGAATTTACCTTGTGTTTGATGGTATATTACACAAAGGTAAGAGTTAAATAATTCATTTGTGTGTGCCTACAGTTTCCCGATCAAACTAAACGATAGAACAGTCATGAAGAAAATGGCGGATCATTTTGTGAGAATTACGCACGTTGTTTTGTAGAACATAATCAGCATGATAGTCCACTGTTTCCGTGTCGCGCGCGCAGAACTGTAAAATTCAGTTTTGTGGTCGCGCGCTCAATCAGCTGAGAAATCAACACACCCGCAACCAGTGGCGGATCCAGCCGGCGGGAAGAGGGGGGGGGGGGCAATCCGTGAGAAAATATTAGTTGCGACTCAGCCGGCCGGTGAATCAGCGGGGGGGGGGGGGGGTGGGCGCTTTTGTTGTTTGTGTTATAAAGGTTAACTTTACGTTTATCCTATTTTTTTATCGTTTTTTTTTTGGGGGGGGGGCTAGGGGGGGGGGGGGGCGGGCCGGAATAATTGCTACGTGGATCCGCCCCTGCCCGCAACGCTGAACCGGTGACAGTAGTCCTTGCCTCTCATTCTATTGTCACCGGTTCAGCGTGGCGGGTGTTTTGTTTTCTCAGCTGATAATTTTGTTTATATATATCTCTATGGGGGTTTTACAGTTATCGACCGGACGTCTGTGACGTCATAGTGCCAGGGGTCAGCTGTACCCGGATTTCGGACGCCATGCGTATAAAACGTGTGTAATCTCTATTGATATCTCTTTGTTTAACGGTTGCTGTATTTCTGTTCGAGTTTCAAGTATTATTTTCATTTTTTTTTTGCGCTGAACTTGTGAAAATATGAATGTCGAATCGAAGGTGTCTATTGATGATATTAGACGTTGGAATATGCAACAATTGAAGAACTATGCAGCCAAAGTGTCACCAAACCTTGTTCCGGTAGTCACCACTCCGGCCGAAGCTGCTATAGAAAAGACGACAGCGTACGCTGACCTGTTGAAATCACCAACTTGTACTTTGCCCGATCCCAACTCATAAGTCGTATTGAGCTACGACGCATGGAGACAAGGTCTTACGAATCCTGCCTGCACATCAAGGGAATGTGAATGGTCAACATTCAGTTGACGGACGACCGTAGAACCGAAGCAGTTGTAGAGTCTCAATTATCAGCCCAAGGTATGCAAGTTTCAGTAAATATATGAAGGTGCCTCTACAGGAAATTAACAGTAACTATATATTGTATAAAAATATCATTTCATCGTTCCATTTTTCTCCTTTCAATTCGTCTGATAAGATGTTCCAAACATTCTAATGATGATTTTTAGGCTCCCAAACTTGACAAACCAAAATCCTTGGGTTTTGTAAGGCTAGTATCCAGATTAGATAATTAATGGTTTTAATAAGACAAATCTGACAAGATGAGAAAGTATTAAGAAAATGGGAAAATATTCCCCACCCCCCCCCCCAAAAAAAATGGCAGTTTTTCATCAAACTTTTGTATACAGGAGGCATTGCGTCTCACAATATAAATGCCCGAGAACCTTTAAGGGGTGACAACCGTTTTCCATTATTGAAAGTATCCGGTAATAACACAAATGTATTCTAATTTTGTATCACAATCTTATTTTATTTCTCTTAAATATCTAAACAGCTGGATTGGAAAAGCGCAAAGGAATTAACCCTGCTGCAAGACAGCTGTTTTCTTCAGTCGGATCCCGATCAGAGGACCAACCAGCAACCATCAGCGAACTTAGTGCTTCCCTAATGTCAAAATTTCAAGATGCCTGTGTGCTTCATGCAGTACAGCAGTACAGGCAGACATCAACGTTCAACATGAGGAGAATGTTATCGCCTCAGAGTCTCCAGTGACACTGCTAGCTGTCGGCTGGAGCTCATCAACTGTCGCAGAGTTCTTGGAAGCAGTTCCCATATCACATTCTGCTGTATCTGTGGAGGCACTGGAAAGAGCAACAAATCCAACATGGTTTGCACATCGGCTCTGTTGCCCATGCAGTCCCGACGAAGGATAAAACCAGGGAACTGAAACCCGATACAGACGGCTGCAAGATGGAAGAGGTGGCAAGAAGGGCCTTCATGAGCGAAAACAAAGAATATCATAGTCGACACTCGGTACAAGAATGTGTTATGTTTGTAGAAAACGAGAATCCACACATCGATGCCAGTCATGATGGAATTGTTGAATGCAATTGTAGTGGGCGTGGAGTTTTGGAGATCAAGTGCCCTTATAGTGTGGCACACACTAAGCCACACCAGAGAATGTCTCGTACTTGATACAGAAGGATAGGAAAATTGAGCTTAAGTCAACTCATCCCTACTACTATCAAGTCCAGCTCGAAATGGGAGTAACAAAGACCAGATACTGTTTTTTTTTGTTTACTCTAGGAAGGGGCAGGTGACGGTACTGTCTAAGCCGGTGATAAGAGATGACAGGAGTTGGTGAAGAGGAGTGCAACCTTTTTTAAAGATTGTGTTGCAAAAGAGATTGTCGAGAAGAAAATAATGAATGAATATTGACACTGAAATAAAAACTTGTCTGGACTATAGACACAACATACAAACTCGATTGTGATTCAATGTATAAAGTACTTGAAAAAGCATCATGTGCTGTGAAATGAAGGCCGGATCTGTAGTCCATATTTTGTAATATATTTGTTAAAATCAAGATCTTTGAGTTACATATTTTTTTTAATTCAAGTAATACTTGTTAATCGTGTGTACAGTACCTACCTTTACTAGATTATTACATGTTTCATAATTAAGTAAAGGCATGTTATAATTTGTATAATTTGTCTCAATATTTCTTCTTCCTCTGATTTATTTATTTCATTGCTCCTGCACATGTGTTTATACATGTGCTTTACCTTCATCACTGTATGGAGCTGTGTTTTTTAACTTCAATTTAATGATTTGTATTTTACATGTACAGTTTATTTGCAGATTCATGTCAAAGTAATATATGGAAAATAAAAACGTTTACACTGGAGTGTTATCCATTCATACTGTACATTTTTTTCTTCCAGTAAAACTCGATTATATTTTGGATCGAGATCTCCCCAAGTCTAACAATAGTATATCAATGACAAATGATGAAAGTGTTCTGATGTTCACATGATGTAACAATTTGAATTTGTATTACTTTACATTCACAAAATGTTGATCACCCAAACATTAGCTGAGCTACATGTACGTGTATATATATTAAAAAATTAAAGTGCAGTGACTCCAGTTGTTTTATCACGAAGATTTTAATGTAAATGTACATGTGTGCATGTATGAATTAAATTGTTTAAATACTCATGACAACTGGTTGCAAGTCATTGCAAGTCACTAATATGAGCAGATTTTAATGTTAAACTTTTTTGTAAAGAACTGTAATGTGTTTAAAATTTCTAGTTAAATGGGATCACAGTGATATTTAACACACCATTATCCACAAACAGAGCACATATTTCAATTGATATGGGACAACAAAAACAAACACCAGCCAATCTGAAAAATCTACAAAATCTTTGTTTTAAATCCTGTGTGAATTGTATATTGAATTGTTTTCCTGATGGTATACAGTACAAAATTTGTAAGAAGATATGTTGATGAGGTTTTTAATAATGTTGAAATAGATAATAACTGTTTTCAAAGTAATTTTCATGGTCAGAGTAATTTCCTTGTTTGTAATGTGAGTGAAACTGGGTGTATAGTATAGCAGTAGCGATAGATGAATGTGAGTGAATGTTGATGGAGGACAATACAGTATAGTGCATCGTGGTTGATTAAGCAAATCTTATGATCATGATTGTGAGAAGATACTGTAAACATGGGGAGTTGCGATATAGTACATGTAATACACTCTTGTTATAAAAGGATCGTAAACAGTACTGTATCAAATGTTTCAATAAATACGTCTAAACACCTTAAATTAAAAGTAAATGTTTTCAACTAAATATTGATTGTTAGAACAATCCAATAAATCCTAACCCCTCTCAACAAAAACACCTATTTTATAACAAGAGTGTACTACATGTAGGTACAGGTAAAGTCTGATAAAGAGATAACTACACACCTATTTCATTTCATTTTTAAATTTTGTTTACATATCTTCATGAAAAACAAACTTATGATCAACAAGAAACAAATTTCTGGCATAACAGAAGCATCAAGCATGTTTAAACAAATGTGTATATGGAAAGAAAAAAATATTTAGTGGAAGGGGTGAAATATATTTTGTTGGAGAAAAAATTCCTAATACATTCAACTTTGCATACTATGTTGAATCTACTGGGACAGAATTTGATTGAAATGTACATTGGTAAAATAACACTGGAAAATTATTTCAGTACCTTCGACTAATGCAACGTTTTGACTTCTGCAAGTTCATGCAAGGTTGACTTATCTACTCCCACTTACATTAAAGTAAACTGGTCACATCGTTTCTGGTCTAAAAAAACGATTTTTATTTGTATTGGTACAACATTGATAATTACAAACTTTGTGGCCATACAGAAATGTTTGATGCTTTCAATATCTGTTTTGTCATTCAGTTATGAAGGTATTGATGATTTAAAAGCAAAAATGGAACATATCTATATCAGACATTGTAACTTTGTGAAGGCAGTCTAATGGGGGAAAAGGAGTCAATTTTCGTCACTTACATATGCTCACTTTTTGTGAAGCACATGATGATGCTTTTGAAGTGCCACTTTCAGGATTCACATTTTACAACATATTACATACACTGATAGCATATATTATAGGGCCCTGCAGCTCAGATTTTGTTTAGCCTCCACGATGTTACCAGCTCACTTTAAAACCCCAGAAAACCCCACACTGTAGCTGTAACATGATGATCAACGGATAGAGACACAATCAACACTTTCACAGTGTAAACAATATGAACTTCTTAAACTGTTTTACAAGTAGTGGCCGTAAATTTACAAGTGCTGCAAAACCACGATTATATCATCAACCAAAGGAATCGTTGAAACTGGCAATTGTTCCCCTAAGATAAGAAAAGTCTTCATTCTCCCTGTAGCCCGTTCAACGTGGATGCGTGCATTGGTAATTACTTTGGTTTTAGCAACTTGCTGTGGTGTGTTGCTTTTTCCCCTTGCTTGGTGGTGGGATTTCTAGACTTACATGCCGCAAAAGATCTTCTTTAATGATGAAGCCTATATCTGTTAGAAATACATCACCAGCATCAATCAAATTTAAAAACCTGATTCTCTAGTGATGAAATCATCAGAGGCCCTCCTTCCCCATAGTATGAAT